CTCCTCCTCTCGTCTTCTTCGTCTTCCCTTCGTCTTCCCCTCGTCCCCCACTCGTTTTCTTTCTCCTCCTCTTCTTCTTCTTCATCTTCTTCTTCATCTTCTTCTTCTTCTTCTTCTTCTTCTTCTGCTTCTTCTGCTTCTTCTTCTTCTTCTTCTCCTTCTTCTTCTTCTTCTCCTTCTCCTTCTTCTTCTTCTTCTTCTTCTTTCAGTTCGTCGACATTCAGCCGGTCACGTGAGACACGACAGGTGAAGAAAAAAAAAAAGGCCATCCTTCTCCCCCTCCTTCTCCGCTTATCTTCTTCTTCTCCTCCTCCTCTTCTCGTCGTCCTCTCGTCTTCTTCTTCTTACCCTCCTCCCCCTCGCATTTTCATCTTTCTCCCCGACATTTCTTGATCTTCTTCTTCTTCCCCTCCTCATCTCTCTTCTTCTTCTTCTTCTTCTCCATTCGCTAGATCTTCTTCTCTTCTTCTTCTTCCCGTCCTTCCTTACTCCTTCCCTCCCTTTCTTCACTCCCTACCGCCGTCGTCATAACGCACGGCCATACCCTACCGACATACCAGTGCTGCCATACGTTACCGCCGCCATACCCTTCTTCTTCTTCTTCTTCTTCTTCTTCTTCTTCTTCTTCTTCTTCTTCTTCTTCTTCTTCTCGTTTCCTTTCTCCTCATTATCTTCTCCTTCTTCTTCTTCTCCTTCTTCTTCTCCTTCTTCTTCTTCTTCTTCTTCTTCTTTCAGTTCGTCGACATTCGGTAGGTCACGTGATACACGACAGGTTAAAAAAAAAAAAAAAAGGCCGTCCTTCTCCCCCTCCTTCTTCGCTTATCTTCTTCTTCTCCTCCTCCTCTTCTCGTCGTCCTCTTGTCTTCTTCTTCTTACCCTCTTCTTCTTCTTTTCCATTCGTTAGGTCTTCTTCTCTCCTCTTCTTCCTTCCCTACTCCCTCCCTCCCTTTCTCCATCCTCCCATCCATCCATCCCTTCGATAAGTTCATAGCAAGCATGCAGCAGACATCAGAGCAAACATGCAGAGCACCCAACCCAGTAGGCAACATACATACAGGGCCCCCAACCCCCAGACAC